AACTGTTAGTGAAAGAAATAGTCATCAAGTTGCACGTTTTCTCTAAAAAATAAATGATTTAACCACCTTTGCTTGCTGTACAGTCCGAGTAAAAAAAAAATCTTTCACATTTCATTTGGGTTGCAAAGTCCATTGACCTCAGTGCAAATGCTACTCGCCACCATATCAGCTGTGTTTACACAACTCCAAAGCTTAAATACAACATACAACTTTAGTCAATCAATTTAGCAAAACCTGCTTACATTAGCAAGTAGGAACAGGATATGTTTTTTTAAGTCCATTTATGTTTCCTATGTTGCATAAAAAGGTTGCAATATCTCTCAGGAGGAGAGGGCGGCCAAGCTGATATATCCCCTTTTTATTACAACTTCACAGCAGGAGTTTGCCTAAGATCAACAGGCTAATACAAGAGAGGAAAAAACTAACCTTTTTTTTTTTTTTTTTTTTTTTTTTTATCTTATAAGCACATAAACTCATTTTACTCTCAGTCAGTCACCCTTAACCTTCTTCCTTGTGTGAGCTCAACATCTGCACATGACATCTGCTGATCTTGCGGGGTTTTGTACGTTTTGTACCCAAATGTGGAGACTTTCCATTACAAACCATCTTACCTTAATCTTAAAAACATCACTGGATTTAGCAGTAACATAGTAAGACATTTTACAAGTATATCAACAGCAAGTTAACCTAAAAATAATGGACCCTTCTAACAGCACAACACACCTACTGCACCCTTCATGGACAGTGAAAAACAATAGCGTTTGTTCCACATCTTCAGGCATTTTCCACTGACCAAGCCAGCAACCAGGACGGGAACATAATAGAGGGAAACCGGATTATATGAAAGGGAAGGGGAGATCCTTACATCACAGAAGGGAACTTTTTTTCCCCTGGTGGAATCCCTTTGACTCTATATCCAAAAGTTTCAGCAAAATATAACAAACGCAAGCCATGTGCAAAAACTTTTTATTTTTTATGTGCTGAAATAATAAACTGTTTCCACTGTAAACTGAGGATTCTATCCCCGCAAACAGAGATCCTTAGGAGCAGATACCTTTGAGCTGCTTCCTGGGTGATCCAGTAAATCTTCTAATAAAAGATGAACCAAATGAAGCAGCTGCCTCCAGTCTGATGGAGAAAACTTCCATCTAAATGAGAAAACTTAGCTTTGATTCCGTTATGGAGGACTCAGTTCACACTGGCCTCTAAGAAAAAGAGGAAGTTTGAATTTTCACTACTGCTTTACCCTAATAATGGTCCTACAAGAATCACAAAGCCAGAGTAGATTTTAAACTGAGAATTGAAGCTGTATGATGGCTGCAAACTTCAACTGATTCATAAGGAGCCATTAGGGGTTGACTGTCATCCTCAGGATAGCTTAAGTTCCCTGTTTTTTGTGACTAAGCATGCTGTGGTATTATTAAACTTCATTTGCACCTTAACATTTTCCTATATATTACAAACTGTGGGTGAAACCTGCCTCCGCTAGAGATTTACATTTCAGAGGTTTAAATCAATGCACATATACAGGTGCTGGTCATAAAATTAGAATATCATGAAAAAGTAGATTGATTTCAGTAATTCCATTTAAAAAGTGAAACTTGTATATTATATTCATACATTACATACAAACTCATATATTTCAGATGTTTATTTTGTTTAATTTTGATGATTACAAATGACAACAAATGAAAATCTCAAATTCATCATATCAGAAAATTAGAATATTGTGAAAAGGTTCAAAATTGATGGCCCCTGGTGCCACACACTAATCATCTAATTAACTCAAACCACCTGCAAAAGCCTTTAAATGGTCTTTCAGTCTAGTTCTATAGGCTACACAATCATGGGGAAGACTGCTGACTTGACAGTTGTCCAAAAGACGACCATCGACACCTTGCACAAGGAGGGCAAGACACAAAAGGTCATCGCTAAAGAGGCTGGCTGTTCACAGAGCTCAGTGTCCAAGCACATTAATAGAGAGGCGAAGGGAAGGAAAAGATGTGGTCGAAAAAAGTGTACAAGCAAGAGAGATAACCGCACCCTGGAGAGGATTGTGAAACAAAACCCATTCAAAAATGTGGGGGAGATTCACAAAGAGTGGACTGCAGCTGGAGTGAGTGCTTCAAGAACCACCACACACAGACGTATGAAAGACATGGGTTTCTGCTGTCGCATTCCTTGTGTCAAGCCACTCTTGAACCACAGACAGCGTCAGAAGCGTCTTGCCTGGGCTAAAGAGAAACAGGACTGGACTGCTGGTGAGTGGTCCAAAGTCATGTTCTCTGATGAAAGTAAATTTTGCATTTCCTTTGGAAATCAAGGTCCCAGAGTCTGGAGGAAAAGAAGAGAGGCACTTCATCCACGTTGCTTGAAGTCCAGTGTAAAGTTTCCACAGTCAGTGATGGTTTGGGGTGCCATGTCATCTGCCGGTGTTGGTCCATTGTGTTTTCTGAGGTCCAGGGTCAACGCAGCCACATACCAGGAAGTTTTAGAGCACTTCATGCTTCCTGCAGCTGACCAACTTTTTGGAGATGCAGATTTCATTTTCCAACAGGACTTGGCACCTGCACACAGTGCCAAAGCTACCAGTACCTGGTTGAAGGACCATGGTATCCCTGTTCTTAATTGGCCAGCAAACTCTCCTGACCTTAACCCCATAGAAAATCTATGGGGTATTGTGAAGAAGAAGATGCAATACACCAGACCCAACAATTCAGAAGAGCTAAAAGCCACTATTAGAGCAACCTGGGCTATCATAACACCTGAGCAGTGCCACAGACTGATCGACTCCATGCCACGCCGCATTGCTGCAGTAATACAGGCCAAAGGAGGCCCAACTAAATACTGAGTGCTGTACATGCTCATACTTTTCATGTTCATACTTTTCAGTTGGCCAACATTTCTATAAATCCTTTGTTTTTATTGGTCTTCAGTAATATTCTAATTTTCTGATATGATGAATTTGAGATTTTCATTTGTTGTCATTTGTAATCATCAAAATTAAACAAAATAAACATCTGAAATATATGAGTTTGTATGTAATGTATGAATATAATATACAAGTTTCACTTTTTAAATGGAATTACTGAAATCAATCTACTTTTTCATGATATTCTAATTTTATGACCAGCACCTGTATGTCCGACATCTGAAAGAAAGAAAATTAAGCTGCTATTCCTATACGTGGGGAAAATTGATAAAAAACAGATACATTTCTTATTTTCAATCAAATTAAGTAGTAGCCTGAATACAGGTGCAGTGAGCTCCCCGTTTTATCACAGTAGCACATTCATTTCCAGTTCCCTTTTTTCTGTAAAACCCAAAAGGATTTCCCCCCCCCCACTAAAATGTCCCAAAATCTAAGTACTGAAATCATTTCACAGATTAAACATTACTTTGTGAAATGTTCATGTCATTATGAAGTAGAAATTATACAGCTGTTTAATAAACCTGGACGCAAAAGTAGCTCTACATAAACGGGCGCAGACTGCTGTCAAAGCACCTGACCAAAAGATCACCAGATTTTAGAAATCTTCAGGTATTCGAAAGGTTTCATGATACCCGTCGTTCCAACAACCTTCCTTGCAAATTTGATGAGAAACTGGCCCCTAGCATTACACATCTTCTACCTTACCCAGCCATGTCACTCAAAAGCATAGAGTGACACATCACCCCACCCTCTGCAACTAACTGCCATCCAGCTGAAATGGAAAGCAACAAATATTTATCAGCTTTTATCAGCCGAGATCGGCCTTTAATGCTTGCTCTGCCCTTTAATGTGCAAAATAAATTCTGGTAAAAAGAAAATATAAAAATGTCTTTATTTCCACATAACTATAAACCTGTGTAGCAAAACAGCATATTTTACACAATGTCCTCACTATAAATGTATGGCTTTTTTTTTTAGATAGTATGGCTAGGTGATGACCCTAAACATATTTGATGTGAGATTTCCATTAGCTGAGAAACTAACAGGCTATCTCAGCCTTCTCTAAGCCATATAAAAAGGATTGGATCATATCTAGATTAAAAGAAAAAGAAAAACTCATTAAATTAAGAATTTAATTATTTTAAATGAATTGTAAAAGAAGGAGAGTGCATTTATAATGATAGTATAGATAAAGGATGGATGTCCAACATTACATCTGGACTGAATGTTTTCTGTGGATGACAAATCCTTTCCAGGATGATGTGAAGCCCATCAGTCAGAGCAGGAGGGGTTCATGCAAGAGCAATCAATGGTGTTGACACGCTACGATTAATCTGCTAGTGTTCAGAATCTTATTCCTATCCATGCCATTATTTTAAATTGCTTCTGTTATGAAAATGAATTCAAATCATTTATAAACTTTGATAATTTGGTTAAAGCCACAGGGAGAGGCTCTTGAGAATATCACTAGAGGTAAAATAGGAAAGGCTGAAACTTGACAATCGACTGTTACTACGTAAAACTGACAGAGTAAAGAAGAGAAAACACAAAAAAACAACAAAACAACATTAAGACGAACCAATCTTTGAGGAGTGATTGGGCTAATTTTGTAATGTGAGCCCTAGTCGAAATGACATGCACTAGGAGGCTTTCTACACTTGCGAAACCCGCCCCGCCCTTTATCTCTACAGACAACCAAAGATATAAATTAAATGAATTAGCCGTTATCCCGGCATTACTGACAGTGCATTTAGCAAACGACGTCATTGCTGGTCTAGCTTGATTCTGTGAACTTTTAATGACCCAAAAGCAAATTATAAAGCAACTCAGGGAGTCAACGGTGAAAGCGTTTCAGCTCGAGAGTATACAGCTGTATTTAGTTAAAATAAACCTTTGATATTTGTTACTGCCTGCAACTAATGCTGCACTGCAGACCCACATCTCCTAATTTAGAAGAAAGAACAAAGTTAGCCCATAGTTAGCTTTAATGTTAGCGAAAGAGCCACAGCCCCGAACACAAAAAGTTTACAAAACTGTTGAAATTTAAAACTCTTCACGCAAAACTCACCTTAAGTAGATATTGTCGTTATTTTCTCCTCGGATTTACCTAAAAAAATACGTCGATATGGAAGTTCCAGTGAGAAAGTCTTTTAACAGCTTTTCCGCCCAGCAGCGGCACCGAGGATCAACTGACTGACTTTTAAGTCAAATTTTATTCGGACGCCATTACCACTCTATATCCGGTGAGATTTTCAAAATAAGGCCAATATTTATATATCTTTATTCGGACGCCATTACCACTCTATATCCGGTGAGATTTTCAAAATAAGGCCAATATTTATATATCTTTATTCGGACGCCATTACCACTCTATATCCGGTGAGATTTTCAAAATAAGGCCAATATTTATATATCTTTAGGCAGCACTATCGGAAGGACAGCCACTTCAAAAACCAGAAAACCAGTTTACAAATGTAGATATTACTCATTAACAAAACGAAAAACTATACGATTGATTACAGTCCGATGTTAAAGATTAAAAAGAGCCGGTTAAGTATAGCTGCTCTGTCAAAATGAAGGCTAAAATATCTAAAAACGAACTAACTAAATTACCCAAAGTCGTATAAATTAGCAGTGCTCCGTATGAGCACGTATGAGTTATCTTTTTACAAAATAATAATAAGTTTTCAACATCATTGGAGGGATGTGTAAGTGAAAAGCTTTTATCTTGAAAGCAAATGTTCACATCTTTAGGGAAGTTGACGTCACTGCAGCTTAACGCAAAGTTTAACAGGACGTTTTACTGACGTAACATCCTTAAAACATTTTAGGGCGATTCTTTCCAAACATTTTAGAGGCTTAGATTTACTACTAAAAATAAAGATTAAATGTATTAATCCGATTGCAGTTAATGCTAGAACTAAATCTTGTTCCAAACATGCGTATCGGTGTATTTGTTGGGGTGCATTCAATCATTGGACCAGTTAATCTTCTCTTAATTAAAATCAGATTAACTTGACATAATTCCAAGTTAAATATAATATATATTCTAACATTAAATTAGCCTTTCGATATGGGTGAACATTCATCACCTAGTGTGTGCAACTTTTTCCGTACAATTAAATTCTGTCAAGATGAACGGCTGTAAGAATTTTACATAGATTCATGAAAAGCACTAAAATGTTGGGGTAATATAAGGTCAGAGCTTCCATAAAGGATAAAAAACAATGCAAATTAGGAATGGAATGAAGTGATGAGCTCACTTAATACATGTTCAAATGTACATGCCTAGAAAAAAAAACATTGTTTAGACATGTACTCTACATATATATATATATATATATATATATATATATATATATATATATATATATATATATATATATATATATATATATATATATATATATATATATACAAAGATAGCAGTACAACTATTCTCAGAGAAAGGAAACTTTTTTTCTCAACTAACTACTGCAAATAGAAACTCTTACGCTCAAGCTTAAATTTGACCACAGCTATTATTAAGTTATACAATGTATGATTTAAGTTTGTTCTTTTTTTAAAATAAAGAGCTTTAACAGAGAAACATGAATGAAGCAAAACTTACAGCGAAACCTTACTGTAGGCTGAGCAAAAATCCTCTTTTTTTAAACCTTACCTTGAAATCCTTATGGCGGTCAAAAAAGGCACATCCAGAATCAGCTCGTGACTGTAAACAGGTAGTGTTATAAGCTACCTTGGTTTTGATCACATTAGTAAAAACCCCAAGTGGGAACCAAGTAATGGCTTTACCCAATTCCTTAAAAAATGAGAATTTCCCTCAGCCTCTCACTAGATTTATCCACACAGCTGGATGTGCAGCTCAGGTCATGCATGCTGTTGAGATTTCGGTTAGAGATTCACATGCCAGAATTTGATCCACAAATTTGTACATCTGGTGTTTTTAAAACTTTCTATGCTGCTCTTTGGTACAGTAGCAGCTTTACTAGCAGTGAGGAAATGTGTGACGAAAAAAGGAAGAAAAAAAAACCCATTTAAACCAGGATGATAAAAAGTTGTTTTCCATAAACCTTGGATTAACATAAATACACAAATCAATTGCTTTAGGGTTCTTTAGCATTGCATGGCAATAAAAAAGAGGATTTAATAGAAAATGATGAGGTGCTTTCAAATAATAAAATTAAAATTATAAAATCATTTTGTGTTTATATACATCATCATTATAACAGGAGACATTAAAAGGAATCGAGGCAGAGTAAATGATGTATAGGAATGACCAGCTTTAATTAAAATTAGATAGCACACCTTCCTTCATCCATTTAAGCAAGTTTCTTCCATTTTTTCACAAAAGTTAAATCATTTTGACAGTTATCTCACAAAGTGAATATTTAAGTTTAATCTTTAATCTCTTTATTTTGGTTTTTGTTTGGATCCAAAAATCTTTACCTTTGGCCACAAATTAAAAATATTTACCCATTTCATGGTGATTTGCACCTTTTGTGACTCATCCCCTGAAAAGTAATACACATCTGTTAAATTCTATTAAATATCATCTGTTCTGTTTGTCTAATGAAACAAAATAAAACGGTTTCCATTATCATTTCCACCCTATTCTACTAAGTTTTAAAAATTGGATTTTTATTCATCAGCAGTGTTTAAATTGGTTGAAAATCCCTAATAATGTATGACTTACATTCTAATTAAATAGACATTGTTTTAAGAGTTGTGATGTAATGCCTATTTATTTGGTCAAAATTAAAAAGAATAATAATAATATTTCGAAATTTAAAAACAAAAACACAGTAAAGTGTGTAAAGTATTCTGCACTGAGTACAGTCTTTGTAATGAGCATTTAAAAAACATTTTGGACTCTATAAACATTTAGTATTTCTAACTCTGCATATAAACTATTTCCCTTTAAAACCATTTGCATTCATAATACCTCCTTTTTCAAGCATATTCTTTCATGTTCAGTATCAGCCTCTATGATAGCACCAATTTTGGCAGATCAGGTTCAGGTGCAGTTAATTGACAGTCATGCATAGAGCAGGATTCTGATCCGCAGTATCAGGAACATATTTCCTACCAACAACCACAGTCCAGAAGCTGATTCAACTCTGCTGATTACTCCATATTTAAACAACAGTGTGCCACAGTCAGAGGAATGAAGGCTGGATTGGGATAAAAAGGTCTGGGTGGTCCTTGTTTTCTTGCAATAGGTTTGTAACCCACAGTAAGGCAGAGGAAGTCATTCCGAGTCGGTAGCACAGCCTCATTTCCATGTGGCTGCAGCGGAACGGGCGCTAGCTGTCCCCTTCGTGCCCTTTGAACCCAGCAGCTGACCTGAGCGGCCCCGAAGGTCACGCTCAGCATTCTCGCTCTGGGCCTGCTCCTCATCATACCTGGTGAAAAACAAACAGCATGGCTGAGATCCGGTTTCCACCTTTGTTCCCTTTGACATGGAGTGTGTAAACAAATAGCCCAGCCTAAACAGGTTTCACACCTCTATTCATTTATTGTACATTACAAAAATACTTAACCAGATAAAATCCTGGATACATTTCAAAATATGCTAAACTATCCACAAAAGAGCTCCTACGTCATTATTTCAGCATTTATTCAAATACTGTTAAGCTTCCTGTGATCCAGTGCAACGGTTTAAATGATTTCTGTGGATCATTAATATGCTTTAATGTCTGACTGGTTAACCTGCAAATCAAGTCAGCTAATGACCACCTATACTGATTATGGTGATATAGACTGACAGCTGCAGCACACAACCATAAAATGATAAGAAAAAACAGGGAAACAATCAGGTTTGTTCTAAGAGAAATTCTGAGCTAATATGTACTCAATAAATTTTATTTATAATTCAGAGATGTGTTTATATTTTACATTATGGTACATATAAATCTCAAAAGGGTTTAGTGACAAAAGGAAGAGAAAACAGGTCAAAGCTAATGTTTCCTTTTGTGCGTGCCTCAACCTTTGTCCTAAAAGTTACTCCTAAGGATTAAAGACTTGTCCTCTACAGTTCTCCGCTATACCAACGGAGCAAAATCACAATATTTACTAGATTTATCTATTCATTAGCACATTAGCCTAAATTTGTAAAAATAAAACATAATAACATAAGATAATATGAATTAGTGCATTGCAAATTTCTGCCAAACCATCTGCTTTATTAACAAAGTTAAAATCCAACATTAACTAAGCATGATACTATGTGAGACCTTTCAGGTATGACAACTATGTGTAAAATAAACAATGCTACTATGGTATTCATAAGAAATGTAATAGCTTTTATTTAACATCAATCTTCCTATTGTTGCTAAAATGGGTTCATTTCCACTATTACAATATGCATCTTTAGTATGGAGGATTAAAAGGGACATATATAAATAAACAAATAAAGCTTGAAATAAATAAATGTGAATATACCAGGCAATAAATAAAAACTGCAATATATCTTCCGATGAATAATTAAATCAACCGTTAAATTGATAATTAAATGTGCAATTAAATAATTAAAAAAAGTGTTTTAAATGATCAAATCAAACTGTTAATTGTAATTTTAAATTGATTAAAAAATATAAATATTTCACTCTGTATGTATTAATGTCTTGCATTTTTTGCACAAGTGTCATCGTGAAATTTCTTAAATGTTAAACTTTAGGGCGGCTCCTATAGAGAGATTCTTACATCTGATTGGCTTGTTCACACAGCAAGTCAAAATAACCTTATCCTAGTTTATTATGATTCAATCAAGTTTTTGGTATTTATTTTCCACAAGCAGTGCTTTAGCAGCTACAGCCTTAATATCTACTGTGACCATGCCTTCAAACGGTTAGTTAACATTTCTGTTCATCCTTTTCCATTTAAATTTCCCCTCAAGCCAAATTTAAACCCAAACACTCCAGTCTTTAAACCTTAAATTACACCACACCAAGCTAGTAAAGGGGATTTTCACCACCTATAAAAGCTGAAGTCTAGATGGTAAGTTTTTATCTTCAATGAGGGTCTCTTTAAGTGTTTTTGTTAGCTGAAGGTTATGTGTATTAAAGTCACTCACAGGACTTGATAGTTCCCCAGAGCTTCTCTTGGCGGGGTGCGATTCCAGCGGCAGTCTGGGATCTCCCCGTTTGGTGTGACGATGTTGAGCGTGTCATTGATCAGGTTGTACTTCAGTATGCGGTCGTTGGCTGTGCTGGAGGTCAGC